GGATGGTGACGCTGAAGTTAGTTTAAAGGGAAATCGGGGCTCTGATCTGGCGTTTTCAGGAAACACAAGCATGCCTGGGCCGCAAAGTGCTTCTTGCAAGTTGGCCCGAACCGAAGCAGGCACAAGTGAGCACACTTGACAATGCAATCCGCTTAACCACGCATATTATGAAGAATACCACTATTTCATCAAACAGTTATAATAAAAACGCTATATTTTAAAAGTCAAAAGAGTTTCGCAGTTGTTAAGACAAACACGCAGCATCCGCGGTTTTTACAAACCAATGACGTACTTCACTCATCCTGGCTTCATGATTTAGCTCACCACCGTTTAGACATAGGTCACCCATGACCACGAGGTACGGGAAATTTGGGGAAGGGTTGATATGGAGGGGAGTCTGCCTTTCCTCTGGGGATGCCTGTAAACCAACAGAAAATGTCTGGAAAAAGGAGGATCCTGGGAGGTTTCAACTGGCCTCCGAGGGAATGACAATGGTCCTTGAAACCTGTTCGTATCCAAGCCGGACAGGCAGTCGACAGAAGCCTAAGCGACTATTAAAATATTAATAACCCAGCGAAATCGATCCCTGGTACCAGCTGGGCACATAATCGATTTTTACCCTAATTTCTCCCTTTTCGATCACGAAACTTCCAGCTAGCGGTTACACTGTTGATCCAAATGCAGTTTTCCGAGTCCCGGTTCGGCTATGAACAACTAATACATATGGCGGATGACGCCTGATCCATTCAAACAGCTGGACCATGGCGTCAGCCGAAAATTGGCCTGGTACTCCTCAGGTTTGCCATTTACTCACCTCCATTTTGTGTGTGGACCTTCCCATTTTTATTTTCTCTATTGCCGTATTCAGCAAACATTTTCAGTGATAATTCCCTGCACAGTGAAAAATGGCCTTGCTGTTATGTATTTATGTTCTGTGCAAATTCAACCTGCTCTGTGCTTCTTTTTCATTCGCTGTTTTATGCAACTACGAATTACAGTCAATTAATCGTCAATAAATTGCTGTCAGGGCCCGAGAAATGAGGCCCAAAGCAGAGTGATAAGAGTGAGCTCCGTTAGCGATCGGTGAACGTCCATCAACGGGCCTCAATAAACTGGCTGATTTTAATAAATTCGCTTGTACACACCTGTTTTAAATTCATTGTAGGGCAGATTGCTTCACATGTAAAAGTGCACATATTTGAAATGGGTTAGTAACACGTGCAAGCATTGTAATTAACTCCACAGTTTTGAGTTACCCGTGAACTGCTGTTTTGGTGGGCGTTTCTTTGGACTTACTTAAGCATGTTCCATAATTCCCGGTAGGTTTCCATGATATGTTCGTAATTTTCTGGCAGAGTGAACCAGAGCATGCGTTCAATGGCAGTGAGTCTTGAAATCTCTTTCATCATGCGTTTCATATCATTGATAAGAGCCTGGATAAAGAGGCGGTCAAGGCTTGGAATTTGGCTAGGCTCGGTGTTCTAAAAGTAGTCAGAAAACAGTCCAAATTGATTCAGAAAGACGTTTTGATTTGTTTAAATATATAATGACCGGATAAATGGAAGCAAAAAAGGTAAGACGTCTAAACATCGGACAGCCTGCAGCACTCTCAGTGCAATTTTTTAAAGAAATAGTAGTGTGACTCTTTCACCATAAGCGACGAAGACCTTCTGCTGTCCAGAGGGGCAGTGTCGTCTTTACTCAGTATCATTTACTTTACATAGAGTTTATAAGGGCCTCTGTCATTTATTCCATATAAACGGTATAGGCATGCTTAAAAAGACGCAAAGGTGAAAAAAAATTACATGTCATCTCAGTCTGCAATCTTCATAAAACTAATAGTGAAACGGCAATCTTAAAAGGTGCAGCGTTGGCGAAGTAGCAGCTAACAAGTGTTCGCTGCATTTGCGCAATGAATTTTCACCGGAATTTATTTAATAAAACGATCTACTGAAATCAAGAAAGTAGTTATGATCGTAACGCGTTAAATGGGTTTGGCAAGACTTGCGGAACGCCTATGTCAGCCGTGCTTCCCAGAAGGAGGTGTACTCAACACCCACCTATTTCCGTTGGCCACGTTAAGAAAAGTGAGTCTCACTGAGAGTTCCAGTATTCCGGTTCTAGTGGTCAGTTGCCCTGTGAAGAGATTGGTCCTTAGGTTTAACCGTTTTGCCATTGAATGGTTAAAAACGGAACACACATTCTCGACTGTTAGAGAGAGCAGCACTTCCCTGGAAGCCTGCGGAGAGCTATGGCGATCGGGAATGGCTAGCCTGTTTTGTACCTCGTTTTCAACACATTTTTTGCGTTCACAAATCCCATTCAATTTGCCGA